GACACCCTGTATAGTCGATATTTGGATAAACATTCGTATCTCAGTATTTTTTGACACAGCATTTTACTACATCACTCTACATTTTACTACACAGTTTCCATTGTGACACTCGGTATACATTACTTAGATATTTATTTAAAATCGTTTAACATTTCAATTCTTCAATTTATGTACATTCTGTATTACAATTATTGCTTAAAATTGAAGGAAGAATTGAAATAGGCAATAATATACAGGGGGTGTCATTTAAAAAAAATAAAGTTTGATGTGACACAACCTTATGACCGACCCTGTATATTTAAATTTACTAGTAGCTAATAGGAATTTAAAAACCCATAACAACAGTATCACAGTTTCGGCAGAATGGCATCATTAAATCAAACCAAACACATCGAAATTTTTTCGATGTTTTTTTTGGCAAATTTCGATTTTTGCTTAGAATTGAAGGAAGAATTGAAATACATAATAATGTGCAGGGCTATTTAAAAAAAATTAAACTTTTTGAAAAAAATCAAAGGTTTTTTTGATCAAGTTGTCAAGCCAAAAAAAAACTATAAAAATAATTTAATGGGGCGTGAATGTTATATAATAAAATATAACTAATAATATAAAATGAAAATAATACTAATAGATGGTACGTTACCAATAGTAATAGCCAACTTTGATCTGCGCGCTACAAACAAAAGTCTTGTATGACCTGGCTACCGAGATGACCTACCTGCAATTAAAGAAAAAAAATTGTGAGCAACAATGTTAACACTTATTATTAAATTAAAAGAAACTTAAAGTTAAACAGGTATTTGAATAATTTAATAATATTCTAACATGAACATATAAGTTTAAAACCAATAATAATATGTCACAAAAGAATGTAGTCATACAGACTGACTTTACACAGAGAATATGCCACACAGGCTATTAAAGTGCCGCGAAAGCTAGTCACTGTATCATTAAAATGACACATAGGCTAGTCACACAGATTCTTAAAGTGCCACACAGGCTAACTGAAAAAAATACTGAATGCTAAACATAATTCAATAAGATCAATGTGATAATATTAATACACAAATATATGTTAATCTCCTATTAAAACCACATAGACAAATATATGTAAAACAATATAAAGTAAATATATAAAACAACCCCAGAGTTCCTAACTGGCAAAGTACGACAAGCTGTTTACAGCACTAGCAACAACAAACAACACTAGAAGAAATCTTTCTTCAACTGGAAGGGACACGCGATATCCCCAAAGCTGTTTACAGCACTAGCAACAACAAACAACACTAGAAGAAATCTTTCTTCAACTGGAAGGGACACGCGATATCCCCAAAGCTGTTTACAGCTCTAGCAACAACAAACAACACTAGAAGAAATCTTTCTTCTACTGGAAGGGACACGCGATATCCCCAAAGCTGTTTACAGCACTAGCAACAACAAACAACACTAGAAGAAATCTTCAACTGGACTGGACTAACAAACGATTAAAAATAGATGGAGAATATCTTAACCATCTAAAATTCGCTAATGACATGTCCTGATATAATTACACAAATTAAGAACTAAATAAGTCAGCAATAAAGTAGGTCTTAAAATGAATTTAGCAAAAACTAAAGTAATGCACAACAAACTACTATAGACAGAAAAGACATTCAAATAAATAACACACAACTAGAAATAGTAGAAGAATATATACATGGTGTCCCAGAAATAAGTGCAGTTAAAAAACTGGTAGTATAGTTCAACCCTAGAAACACGCTTATGAGTTTTTTTCGCTAAAAAAATTGAAAATTTGAAATTTTTTGAAAAAATTTTTGGAATTTTTTTTAGTTCTTAGTTAAAAAATATAATTTCTTTATAATATGTCAACATAGGTATTACCGAGGGTATTACATTAAATCCAGAAAAGATCCAGTGGTTCTAAAAATTTTAGCAAAAAAACATTTTTTTGGAAATTTTCAAAGTAAATCAACTCCGTTATTTTGGATTTATTTGAAAAACGATAAAGAGAAAATGTGTTTATTTTATCGAGATCCATCACCCCTTAAAATATTTGCACTTATTTCTGGGATACCCTGTATATTTGGGACTAGGGAATGCAATCCCGCAAATGCGGGATCCCTCTGTGATTCCGCGGGATCAAAGTTGCGGGACTTACCGTGCGGGATCTGCGGGATCGACACCAGGGGATTCCCCTTACGGCTTGGCCATTAAAAATAAGTGAAACAAACAGGTTAATTGTCAGATTTCTTTCTGGCGTACCTAAGTGAAGAAAAGCGTTTAACTAGTACTTGCGGACAATTAGGTCCAATAAATTACCGGACATAATTATCGGGACAAGCAAAATTTTAGGGTAAATTTAAAGTTGAATATCTCTTGAACTAAAAAAGATTTTGGGATGCGGTTTGGACCAGGTTTTAGATGGATCTATTGTGATTAAGATACTATGTGGTTTTCGAAAATATGAAAATATATTTACCGAATTCTCGCATACAGGGTGTTTTATAAGAGTGAAAATTTGGCCAATAATTTTTTTTACCGCAAATTTACAATTTTTAAAAAATCGAAATTTTTACCAAGTACGACTAATCTGTATTGAAATTAGAAAAAAAACAATTTGATGGGTTTTTTATTTTTTTTTGTTTTAAGGAAAATACGACGTTTTTTATACGATGGTCCTAAATGGTACAAAAAGCTTTGTACATTCTGCATAAGCCAAAAAATTATTGTTATAGAGTGTATCTGAAAGCAGATAACTAACACAAGTTAAAAAAAACTTCAACATCAGAATAATATTTTTATTTATAAAATAAGTAGATAAATTATAATAAAATTTAAGTTTATTTAATATTAAATATATTTTTGAACACCCTGTATACATCGGTCCAAATTTCTGTACAGATAGTTTAAGATACACGCTATATCAATATATTGTGGGCCTATGCAAAATGTACCATGCCTTTTGTACCATTTAGGACCAAACGTATGACTATAAATGCATATTTTTCGAAAAAAAATCGTATTTTCCTTAAAACAAAAAATTTAAATAAAAACACCAAATTGTTTTTTCTAATTTCAATACAGATTAGTCGTACATAGTTAAAATTTCGATTTTTCAAAAATTGTAAATTTTCGGTAAAAAAGATTCTTTACCAAATTTGTACACTATTATAAATCACCCTGTATACGAGAATTAGTTAAATATATTTTCGAAAATCACATAGCATCTTAATCACAATAGATGCGTCTAAAACCTGATCCAAACCGCATCCCAAAATCAGAGAGAGAAAAGAAAATCATTTATTGTTCACAATCCCGCAATTTTGCGGATCCGCGGGATTGATTGCTTTAATCTCGCGGGTTTGCGGGATTGAGATTTTGGTGCGGGATTGCATTCCCTATTTGGGACAACTATAATAGGTACATAGTTCGTGATTTCTACTATCAGAAATCAACTGAAGAATTAACTTAGCATGGAGTACTTATGGAAGATGCTCAATCATATGCAAATCTACAATGCCACTTTATCTAAGGAAGACAACATTCGACCAATGTCCAATGTGTACTACCAGTCATGACCTATGTATGCGAAACCTGGACACTTAAAACGGACATTATAAGGAACCTGCAGCTCGCACAACGCTTCATGGAACGAAATATGCTGGGAATAACCAAGAAAGACCGCAAAAGAATAGAGTGGATAAGACAAAAGACCCAGGTAATAGATGTCATCCACAGAATCAAATAGCAATGGTGGCAATTGGCAGGACACCTTGGCACAGACCTTGGCGAGAAGGATGGACAAAAGATGGACCACAAAAATTACAGCATGGTCATGGCACCCGCAAAGAATTAAGAGACCTAGAATAAGACCAAACCTGAGATGGCACCATGGTATTAGGAAATTAGAAGGGATAACTTGGCATAGTCAACAATAGACAACAATGGGCCCTACTACAAAGAAAGTATCTAAATATCTGAGGCAGGCTACACAATAATTGGAAATGGTTGAATAAGCCGAAAGTGATGATGAAAGAAATACTTTAATATTATAATCAGCAAATTGGCTTTTCTTATTATTCAATCAAATATCTTAAAATTTACGACCTGAGATTCAGAAACATAATAAATAACAACTACCTAAAACAATAAACGGTAATCAACCTATAGTTACCCAGTTAGATGTAATAAACTCACCTTATTTAAACGTTGTACTGCGGTTGTACTCTGCACAGCAATGGAACTCAGAACCACCACATAACATTAATTAAATCTCAGAAACGTTAATAGTTAGTTATGATTTAATAAACGCACACCATTTTCTTTCTCCGACGCTTTCTAATACTGTACTTTTTGAAGTAGGCAGGTATGATTTACTTGTTTTTATTTATGTCCGGAATTTCATGGCAATCTATGATCGCAATCATAAATCAAGGAGAAAACTTATAGTATAGAAAAACAAAGTTCTTACGTAACTTTAATTAATTATAAATGTTAATATTTTTGAAACTAAACGTTTTTCTGGTTAAACACTTAAAATTTAACTAGAATATTTAAATCAAATAATTATTAATTCAATAACTTAGTATATTTCTTATCGCTCTAATCGGTTTTAAATAGTTATAACCGATAACCGTAGTAATAAATATTGTCTAAATCAAAATCACAAATTTTATTGTTTAATTAAAGGCTATAAATTATTCAGAAATACTTAATTTTAAAATAAAAAACATCTTTAGTTTCAAAAATTTATTTTTAAGGTAGGCAACTTCTTATACATACTACATATTGAAATGTTATCTGAACCTGATATTGAACTTTTACGGAATGAATACTGGGTTACTCTGTATATCTAGATTGTTTTTTCAATTATATATATATTTATTTTAATGTCATTTTTCAATTATGCGGGAATAATGCGGTATAGGTATATTTATTTTAAAAAAGCAATATCGATAAATTTAATATTTCGATATATCGACACCATCCCTAGTTTTGACAGCGCTCGGTCGGTAAACGGTGGGGAGCCTACGTCATTCGGCTGTCCGTCTTTTATTAGATTAGTGGTTTTGTTTATTTGGATTGATTTGTAGTCATTCTGTCTTCCTAGCTGAAATACCCGTTTAAGCCGGACACGGTCCGCACCCACCCTTCTATCGTAACTTGGATGTTCTGTTGCTGGGCCCCGCAAGAGGACTTCGGAAAAGGTACGTAGCCCTAGGCCATGTTTATCACCTTCATCCCCGCTCTCTCTCTCTCTAACAACATCGTGATTTAACATCCGCCATCTTTGCCTGGTTAGTCATTGAGAAATAAGGCGTTGACGTAGTTTTTATTTTTCGTAGGTCCGATGGCTGCCATACGAAAGAAATTGGTGATCGTGGGCGACGGTGCATGCGGGAAAACTTGCCTGCTGATTGTTTTCAGCAAGGACCAATTTCCAGAAGTGTACGTGCCAACCGTTTTCGAGAACTATGTGGCCGATATCGAAGTCGACGGAAAACAAGTCGAATTGGCCCTATGGGATACAGCAGGACAGGAAGACTACGACCGTCTGCGTCCCTTATCCTATCCAGATACCGACGTGATCCTTATGTGCTTCTCTGTGGATTCTCCAGACTCGCTTGAAAATATCCCGGAAAAATGGACTCCGGAAGTGAAACATTTCTGTCCGAACGTCCCTATCATTCTGGTAGGTAATAAGAAAGATTTACGTAACGACCCCACAACTATAAACGAGCTAAGAAAGATGAAACAGGAGCCTGTCAAGCCTCAGGACGGTCGTTCGATGGCAGAGAAAATTAACGCCTTTGCTTATCTCGAGTGCTCAGCTAAAAGTAAGGAAGGTGTGAGGGAAGTGTTTGAAAACGCCACTCGCGCCGCTCTTCAGGTGAAAAAGAAGAAGAAGCATCGTTGCATTTTGTTCTGAACAAGCACACAACACAAAAAAACAAGAAAGGCTATTGTTTATATCTTTCTGATTTTTGTGTTATATTTTGAAGTTTTGAGGGGCTATTGCATGTATATCTACTAACACAAACGATCCCTATTATATATATGTTTTACAATTACAATCTTAAGTTTACTACTGGTTCGATTTTTTTTCTAGATAGACCATATCTGCTTTAAGTTTGTATATCGTAGATGTAAAGGTGTTGTAATAATTTTTTGTAGTAAATAATAAAAAAAAACATGTTATTAACAAAGTGTCCAGGCACAACATTGTTACACATCCTACAACAATTTTTTGAAACTTATAAATAATAATTGGGACAGCCTCTTTGTATTTTCTACATATGTTATAGTTATTGTATTGAAATTTTAGTTAATGGTGTGTGTAGAGAGGAAAAAAATAAGCTAATCGATGAATATATATATTTATACATATATTTTTTAAATTTTGGGTGAAACAAGAGTTAATTTTTTTTAAAAGAAATCAGTTTAGTTTTTCTTTCATATCGATGAGAATATATTTAGAATCGGTTGTATAGGAAGACTTTTTAGGAGGATAAATTTATGAATCGCGTATTAATGTAATAGCTTTAACTTTTCCATACTATGATGTATACTAAAATTAATAAAATTGTTTTTCCTACAGTTGTACCTTTTTTTTTAATTATTTCCTTTTGGTTTGTTTTATCAAAATTCTAGTAGGAAACTAATATGTTTGAAAGCTTTTCCAAAATTGACTTATTTACTCATGCCTTTTACACTATTTCATATTTAATATGTAAATTTTCACTCTTAATTTCTCAGTTTGTAAACTTGGCTCACGGGCGGGCGCCTTAAAATTTTCATGTGTTTTTTAGTTTTATACAGGGTGGTTCGAACTGTATTCTGGAAACTTCGGCAGCATATTCTGCAGATAAAACTAAGTAAAAAAATTCATATAAATTTATGACCTAAATGCTTAGTTTTAGAGATACAGGGTGTAGAAGATTTATTTTTATTTCGATTTTTTCCAAATAATTTCTGAAGTAACGTCAATATTTGGATGAAAATTGGCGTTTGGGAGTTTTTTGACATGAGAAATTTTATTTTGATGTCAATATGACTCCTATTTGTAGGGGGCGCCACCTACATGTGTTTTAACCGTTTTGAAGGGTAATTACTTTTCGTCCGTACCTGTATAAAACTACTGAGTGTAAAAATATACATTTCCGTAGCTTTTTACGTAAAAAATGTCTCTTGGTAAAAATCGCCATGAACAAGATGTTTAGAATTGAAATAGTCAATACATGTCATTATTGACTAATAATAAACATGTTGAGTAGATATAGTTATTTGAGTGAAATGATAAATTTGGGAGCTGCTATTAATTAATAACTATTTAGTCAACATATTTAATTTATGTCAATGATCACAGGTATTGATAATTTCGATTCCAAATATCTCGAGAACCCTTACTCTTAGCGATTTTTACCAAGATACCTTTTTTACGTAGAAAATATCGTAAATGTACATTTTTTTTACTCACTAGTTTTATACAGGTACGAAGAAAAAGTTAGTACTCTTCAAAAACCAGTTAAAAAAATGTAGGTGGCGCCCTCTACAAGTAGGAGTCAAATTTCTCATATCAAAAAAAAGTAAACTCAAATTTCTCATATCAAAAAACTCCCAGACACCAAATTTCATCCAAATATTGACGATACTTCCGAAATTATTTAACTGATGTGAACTTAGCAGCCAAAAGATAGCGGCCGATTTGCCGAACATAGCCGAAGGGTCAGTGGCGTCGGGCGACTTAACTTAATATGAAATAATCATACAATTTCTTGCAGGAGAATTTTATTAATATTTAAATAGTACTAAAACGAAGTATGCTTCATTATGTTAATAAATTATTACCGATATTTTTATATCGGATTAATTATTATAATTTCAAATTGACATGCGTAGTGTAATTTTATAAAATATATATACATTATACTAATGTAACCAAAATTAAAAAAAAATAAAAAACTAATTCATTTATGATAGTACTAGCACTACTACCTTTAGCAACAATTGGTTACTATGATATAGACAGAAACAACAAAAAAAGGTCATGATTTATATCACTACTAACTAGAAGCACACAGTTTCGTGTTATTGATGGACTTAGTTTTCGGTATTTTCGTCAGCAGCTAATTTCTTTATATCGGTTTTTCCGATTTTCTCGAAAACTGCGTATACTAACAAGATCAAAATTTCAGGGATTATAGAGGCCCACTATTGATCGATTTAGTTTTCGGTATTTTCGTCAGCAGCTAATTTGTTTATATCGGTTTTTCCGATTTTCTCGAAAACTGCGTATACTAACAAGATCAAAATTTCAGGGATTATAGAGGCCCACTATTGATCGATTTAGTTTTCGGTATTTTCGTCAGCAGCTAATTTGTTTATATCGGTTTTTCCGATTTTCTCGAAAACTGCGTATACTAACAAGATCAAAATTTCAGGGATTATAGAGGCCCACTATTGATCGATTTAGTTTTCGGTATTTTCGTCAGCAGCTAATTTGTTTATACCGTTTTTCCGATTTTCTCGAAAACTGCGTATACTAACAAGATCAAAATTTCAGGGATTATGAGGCCCACTATTGATCGATTTAGGTTTCGGTATTTTTCGTCAGCAGCTAATTTGTTTATACCGTTTTTTCCGATTTTCTCGAAAACTGCGTATACTAACAAGATCAAAATTTCAGGGATTATAGGGTCCACTAGACTAATAATAATCAGCCAGTGGCGTGTTCTTGATCGATTTAGTTTTCGGTATTTTCGCCAGCAGCTAATTTGTTTATAACGTATTTCCGATTTTTCTCGAAAAACTGCGTATACTAACAAGATCAAAATTTCAGGGATTATAGGGGTCCACTAGACTAATAATAATTCCCCAGTGGCGTGTTCTTGATCGATTTAGTTTTCGGTATTTTCGTCAGCAGCTAATTTGTTTATACCGTTTTTCCGATTTTCTCGAAAACTGCGTATACTAACAAGATCAAAATTTCAGGGATTATAGAGGTCCACTAGCCTAATAATAATCACCCAGTGGCGTGTTCTTGATCGATTTAGTTTTCGGTATTTTCGTTAGCAGCTAATTTGTTCATACCGTTTTTCCGATTTTCTCGAAAACTGCGTATACTAACAAGATCAAAATTTCAGGGATTATAGGGGTCCACTAAACTAATAATAATCCCCCAGTGGCGTGTTCTTGATCGATTTAGTTTTCGGTATTTTCGTCAGCAGCTAATTTGTTTATACCGTTTTTCCGATTTTCTCGAAAACTGCGTATACTAACAAGATCAAAATTTCAGGGATTATAGGGGTCCACTAGACTAATAATAATCCCCCAGTGGCGTGTTCTTGATCGATTTAGTTTTCGGTATTTTCGTCAGCAGCTAATTTGTTTATACCGTTTTTCCGATTTTCTCGAAAACAGCGTATACTAACAAGATCAAAATTTCAGGGATTATAGAGGTCCACTAGACTAATAATAATCACCCAGTGGCGTGTTCTTGATCGATTTAGTTTTCGGTATTTTCGTTAGCAGCTAATTGTTTTATACCGTTTTTCGATTTTCTCTGAAAACTGCGTATACTAACAAGATCAAAATTTCAGGGATTATAGGGGTCCACTAGACTAATAATAATCCCCAGTGGCGTGTTCTTGATCGATTTAGTTTTTCGGTATTTCGTCAGCAGCTAATTTGTTTTATACCGTTTTCCGATTTTCTCGAAACTGCGTATACTAACAAGATCAAAATTTCAGGGATTATAGAGGTCCACTAGCCTAATAATAATCACCCAATGGCGTGTTCTTGATCGATTTAGTTTTCGGTATTTTCGTCAGCAGCTAATTTATACCGTTTTTCCGATTTTCTCGAAAACTGCGTATACTAACAAGATCAAAATTTCAGGGATTATAGGGGTCCACTAGACTAATAATAATCACCCAGTGGCGTGTTCATGATCGATTTAGTTTTCGGTATTTTCGTCAGCAGCCAATTTGTTTATAACGTTTTTCCGATTTTCTCGAAAACTGCGTATACTAACAAGATCAAAATTTCAGGAATTATAGGAGTCCACTAGACTAATAATAATCCCCCAGTGGCGTGTTCTTGATCGATTTAGTTTTCGGTATTTTCGTCAGCAGCCAATTTGTTTATAACGTTTTTCCGATTTTCTCGAAAACTGCGTATACTAACAAGATCAAAATTTCAGGGATTATAGAGGTCCACTAGACTAATAATAATCACCCAGTGGCGTGTTCTTGATCGATTTAGTTTTCGATATTTTCGTTAGCAGCTAATTTGTTTATACCGTTTTTTCGATTTTCTCGAAAACTGCGTATACTAACAAGATCAAAATTTCAGGGATTATAGGGGTCCACTAGACTAATAATAATTCCCCAGTGGCGTGTTCTTGATCGATTTAGTTTTCGGTATTTTCGTCAGCAGCTAATTTGTTTATACCGTTTTTCCGATTTTCTCGAAAACTGCGTATACTAACAAGATCAAAATTTCAGGGATTATAGAGGTCCACTAGCCTAATAATAACTCCAGTGGCGTGTTCCTGATCGATTTAGTTTTCGGTATTTTCGTTAGCAGTTAATTTGTTCATACCGTTTTCCGATTTTCTCGAAAAACTGCGTATACTAACAAGATCAAAATTTCAGGGATTATAGGGGTCCACTAAACTAATAATAATCCCCAGTGGTGTGTTCTTGATCGATTTAGTTTTCGGTATTTTTCGTCAGCAGCTAATTTGTTTATACCGTTTTTCCGATTTTCTCGAAACTGCGTATACTAATAAGATCAAAAATTTCAGGGATTATAGGGGTCCACTAGACTAATATGGAAAATCCCCAGTGGCTGATATTCTTGATCGATTTAGTTTTCGGTATTTTCGTCAGCAGCTAATTTGTTTATACGTTTTCCGATTTTCTCCGAAGCACCGTATACTAACAAGATCAAAATTTCAGGGATTATAAGGGTCCAATTAAACTAATAATAACTCCCCAGTGGTGTGTATGTTCCTGATCGATTTAGTTTTCCGGCATTTTCGTCAGCAGCTAATCGAGCCATACCTGTTTTTCCGATTTTCCTTGAAAACTGCGTATACTAACAAGATCAAAATTTGTGGGATTATAGGGGTCCAATTAGACTAATAAACTAATCCCCAGTGGCGTGTTCCTTGATCGATTTAGTTTTCGGTATTTTCGTCAGCAGCCAATTTGTTTTATACCCGTTTCTTCCGATTTCTTTCTCTGAAAACCGGTGTATACCAACAAGATCAAAATTCTGATTTCATAGAGGTCCACTAGCCTACTAACAATCACCCAATGGTGTCTCCTTGATCGATTTAGTTTCGGTATTTTCGTTGGGCAGCTAATTTGTTTATACCATTTTTTCGATTTTCTCTCGAAAACTGCGCATACTAACAAGATCAAAAATTTCAGGGATCATAGGGGTCCACTAGACTAATAATAATCCCCCCAGTGGCGTGTTCTTGATCGATTTAGTTTTCGGTATTTTCGTCAGCAGCTAATTTGTTTATACCCGTTTTCCGATTTTCTCGAAAACTGCGTATACTAACAAGATCAAAATTTCAGGGA